TTTTACTAATAGTTCCGCTGTAATTATATTTTCTGAGCCACCAATTGTATTTACGCCGTACTGTATGCTATAGGTAGGTGGACTAAACAGATATATACACAAAGCAGTTGTTATTACTACTCGTTCGCTAATAATCGTTCCAATACAAGAAGGAATACCATCAACTCGTACAGACACTTGATATGGATGCAATGCAATAGTGGTCGGTGTAACAATTGCATCTTTACTGATAACTGCAGCATTAGCACTGATAGCTATTATGGACAGCAATATAAACAATTTATTGGTATACATGTTATATTAAGTTTTAAAGAAAACTGTTTTAAATTATTATTTAAAATTGGTTTATATAGTAAATTACTTATTACTTGATTTTTTCTACTTAAAAAAATGTTATCATAAAATTATCTAAATTCTCTTGCAGTTCAATTATAATTGATTACACTTACTTTCTAGACTTAATTTTATTTTATCGTAATTAGTATAATGGACTTTATATTGTTTATCATAACTTAAAATTAATTTTAATGTATATGAAGTTATACACAAAAATAAAAAGCATACATTTTCAACTTTATTATATTTTGTGGACGCTTTTGCGTTACGACACGCTACAACATCAACCGTAATTTTTTCTTTCAGAGTAGCAAAAAAATACTCGCAACTTATGAACGAAAACATGTGAAGCAACAACAATGCTCTCAAAATCTTCAGAGTTTGATTTTACTTGCAAAAATATTTACATCTTATGTTTTAGTGCAGTCAAAATCAAAAACCAGCCTATTGTGAATGTTCACTAGAAATATATAGCAAAATACCGGTCATCCGTTAAAATCCTATGAGCATTTCATTTACTAATAAATTCAAATACATAATTAAATAAATTAATTTAAATATAAAGGATAAAAATGCTAACCATTGCACATCTGATATTCATTTTGTTTTCCTTTTTTTAAATATCATATTGTAGACAATACAACAAAGAACGTATGTTAAAAACAAGCATTTAATATATTCTAAAAGTGATGCCAATTTTTATTTAATGAGACTTCATGATGTTTTTCAACAATTCTGAAGGAAAATATTATGAAAAATATATATCACACATAAAAATTATATATAAAATTGATATATTAAATCATTAATATGCACTTTATATATCAATTACATGCTCAATTAATAAAAACAATGAATTTATGATATAATTACTTCCTCAGTGCCTTTGATTACAGCTCAGCTGTTGTTTGTTTACATTTTACATATGAAACCCGTAGCACACAATCTTTAAAAGAGGCACAAATCGAAATTCGTCAATTTTCAAAAAATGTAAAAAGTGTTTTGCAGCGTAATGTCATTCCTCACAAAAAAGAGACATAACTTTTTTTTTGTGACAATTTGCAATAATAAAAACAAAGTGGAATTTTGCGTGTTTCTAGACAGATAAATTAAAAGCAAGTTACATTAACTTAAAATTGACGAATTTCGAGCTGTGCCTCTTTTGAAGAGGGTATGCGATTTGACACATACATAAATTTTGGTAATTTACTGTGTGGGAAATTTATATTTAAGGGTTGCATTTGATATTTTTTGTCTATAATGTGTTGTTTTATTGATAATGACTTCATTTATATGAAAAATTTTGTACGGCAAATCATTTTCTATAGCAAAACTGCCTAAATGGGATAGTGTGAATGTGCTATAAACCTACCAAGAGAAATGTCAAGTCCGTCGTTAAATAAAATTCTTTTTGTTCTCTTATAACTATATTACTCATATGTAGTGTTTTAATGTATTAATGTATTTTAATGTATTTCAGTTATAATGAATGTTATTAAAATATTTAATAAAAATTTCTAGAAATAATAATGATTTATGGGCGTATCCGAGTCAGAATTTGAGGTAGAGTAAATTGAAATTTCTTAGGGATTTTTTGCAATGCACTTATGTAAATATTTATTTATATATATATTGCACTTATATATTATTTTTAGTTAAAAGTTTTCAAATTTATTTATTTACGAATAGTATTGAAATTTAACAATTAAAAATAAAACTATAATTAATTCAATTATTCTACAGCTGGTAGAATTATTTCGTTCTAATATAAACACAGTAAGTAAAATTGTTAATAAAAACTTTAATAGCAAAAGTAACAAAACTCCAATGAAATATGCGAACATAAAAAAGTCAAGCACGGCTTTGGATCAGTTGGTTAAGGTGCGTTGATTCTGAACTTCACATTTGGCAGGATCCAAGTTCAATTTCTGGTATTTGCAGTCTTAAAAGTAATTATTTACGAATAATGATGGGTATTTGGCAATACTCGAAACAGCTGTATGGTCAGTCAAAAATTTAATTAATTAAAATAATATAAAAAAATAAAATTTTTGTTGTTGTAGTTCACTATTGTTCGAAAAAACCTTTTTATATATTTATTAAATATCTTACAAAATTGGTAATAGCAAATTTACTTAATTTTTATCTAATTTACCCAACTCGAAATTCTGGTAAATACCAATATTCGCTGCCATGCTGACATAAAGGGAAATAGTGAATTCCCTCAATTTATTCGAACTCGTACACGGCCTTAATAAAGCAATGTTGAACCAAATTATTATAAAAAAAAATCCGCATATGGTAACGTTATTATCGAAATAATTTATCGATAAATGATTTCATGCTCATTTTTGTAGTAAATTTCATAACATGGCATCATTTTATTTTCTGTCGTGAAACGAAGTATAAGTGAGTTGTACCGAGCACATAAAATTTTACTGAACAGATTTTGTAGTCAGATTTTGAAAGCAAAAAACTAATTTTATTTCGTAAAGCTATAAAATATTCCTTAAAAAATGTCGCTGTTTGGTTCATTAATGGGAGATTTTGATGATGATATATTTGGGTAAGTTAGAAAATGAGAAAAAAAATATATAATTTATAGGTGTGCAATTACATATACCAGTAAAATTATGTTAATTTTTTTATGTTTATAAACATATATCATTGTATAAATAATATGCAAACGAAATTTTTAATGGTTTTTATGAAAAGTATTTCTATACATGTCTATATAATTTTCTTTTGCATTTGTATGAAAAGTAAATGCGACGTAAAGACGCCCTTTCACAGGTTTTTATTTTTAATATTGTACTATTAATATGTAAATAAATTACGCTAAAACATTAAATTTTTCTCATTCTGTATTCAAAAGTTGTTAATAGATATAAACATTAACTTAAATGTTAATTTTTAATTGGATAACGTTGAATTGATATTTTTTCTGCATTGTCGACGAATAAATCGATATAATGTTTGTATGTATACGTAAATTAGTTTTGATGAGTTTTGTTGTTGTAAACACGAAAGTCGTGTTTGGAAAATTCGCGAAGCGACAAATTTGAAAACATCTGAATATCGCATATCTAGATTTCCTTATGTCTAAATTAAATTAATTAATTTATTTATTTTTAACAAAAAAAAACCGCAACTAAATAAAAATATGATAAAGTGGTTCACATATTTTATATACACTGAAGTCAAGGCCAAAATTGATTTTATATGTGTTAGTGGTTACACTAATCAGCATGGTGGGTTAACATATGTAAGAATGTTTTTCTAAAAAAAATTAAACAAAAATCAGTAAAAATAGTTTTTATGAAATTTTTTAAATTGTATTATTTTATTACAGAAAAAAAAAACGATTTATACAAATGTTGCAATGCATTTTTCTATGTTGTAATTGTTGCTGCGCAGTAGCTTAAGTCCTGCAAAAATTTTTCTCCCTTTTAGTAGTAAATGACACATATTCTTAATTTTCTGTTCTAGTAGTTTTCCGAATATTTCATATAATTACAAAATTATTATATGTACTTAATATTTACTATTTCAAATAATCAAAACCCCTTAAAAATAATCACCATGTCATTTAAAAACATTGGTCTGGTGCCTACCCGGTAAGTGCTGATTCGGGCAAGTACAAATTTTTTTTAAATAGGAACTAAAATATATATATTTACTTTCAAATTTATTATTTAAAAATTATTTGTCTTCATTATAAACTTTGCGACTCAAAAAAGTTTAATGAAGACCCGAAATTCGTACCTTTTTGAATTTTAACCAATTATTGATAGAGATCCTTAAACCTAGTAGAAAAATTCGTTACAGATTTAAGTTCAGCATACTCATATTAATTCAAAACCCACTCAAAACTCCACTCCTCTCATCTGTACATCTCCCATTTATTTATTTTAGAATTCAATCAGATTCAACAGTATGCTTTACAAATTTTAAAATAAATATATGGAAGATATAGAAATAATCTAAAGTTTCCCTCTTCTACCCCATGCCGTAGTTTCAGAATGATATTTTATATCTAAAGCGCTATATAAATTAAACATTCAAACAACACCGTAAGTAGTAAGACGACAGCTCCGTTTTATGTTTTGTATCTGTGGGCTGTAAAGGGCTAAAGTCGGCTATGTTAATAGCTTTTTGTACTTATGCAGTAGTTTCCAAAAGACGGCCGTCCTTATAAAATCATGAGAACATTTATTATTAGAAGTAAGATGACAGCTCCGATGTATCCTTTACATCTGTGGAATGTGAAGCACTAAAGACAGCTAAAGATGAATGTTTATGGCTTTATACACTTATGCAGTAGTTTCCAGAAGACGGTCCTCTTAATGCAATAAATTTCCTATAATATCTAGAGCAGTAAGAATTTTTTTGACAATGGATTTAATAAACGTTATTTTTTTTTCTGGGACCAAGGAATTAGACATGATATGACTTATTAAAAATTTTCTGACAACAAATTCCATTGATTGTCAGATTTTGGCGCTTTGTCAGCACTTGGTGAAAATGAGAATTATTTTACATATTACATTAAATTACATTAATTATTATGAAAATCTCATATTCATTGAAAAATAGTTTTTTTTTAAATCCATGTAATTATATATATATTGTAAGTATTACATATGAATAATTTTAGTCAATTATTTTTTTTTTTCTTTGAATACTATGTCATTTATAAAGTTAAACTGCTAAATAGAAAAAAATTAACTTTTTAAAACTAAATTATTCTAAAAATCGCAAGTCTTTAAACTTTGAATTTGGAAGCGTCAAAAAATGCCTCGTAGGCATGGAAAATCGCGGAAATCTCCAAATTCAACAGGCGAAGAGTAATATATTCACTCCTATTTTAATTACATATTATGTACTTTTTTAGATATGTGAAATAAGATTTATTTAAATTGTTACAGAAATCCTATGAACGCAATGAATATGCAAATGCGTTCGATGAATCGTTTAATGAATTCAATGATGGCGCCAAATCCATTCAATATGTTGGCACCCATTAATCTTGGCTTTGAGGATAATGCGCTAATGGAACGTCATAATCAACCAAATCAAATGGGCTTGTTTGGCTTCCCAGCTATGCCAAATATAAATCGTCTTTTAAATGCTGGTGAGTAATAGACTTTAACATTTTAAATAAATAAATATTATACAGGGTTATCTATTTTATGGTACAGAAAGTAAATATGAAATGAAACACTTGTGATTGAGACTTTGATCAATTTTAATATATTATATGGACCTGTTTTCTGTGGTACATCTTACAATACTGGTTCCTTTTTGAGTCTATATTTAGAAATATCTTGACTATTATATATATACAATTCTTTGTTTAGCGACTTTAAAATTACATGACAAACAGACAAACGAACAAACGATTTTAGTTGCCAATTCTGATTACCAAAACGTTTGAGTTCACGTCCGACTTAGTTCCTTTCGCAAGAAATCTAAAATAATATGTGCTGTATGGTTTGTGGAACCGTCCTGTTAAAATCTTGTATATCCGAGATTCATACAATGATAATCATATAGTGGTAATGGTTTTATTATTCCTTTAGAACAAATACCACATCATACACTGACTTTATGTGGCTGCTGCAATAGGTTTTCGGCAGATACTTCTGGATATTTATTGCCACAAATGCCAAAATGTTATTTGTTGACCTATTGATCAAACGAAAAATGAGTCTCACCACTCAAAAAACTTGAAGCGAAACATCTTCATCCAACTCATAGACGAGTTGGAGCACTCATTAGTATTAAAGTCTGTTTTGTTTTTTTAAGAATGTTAACTTTTATTTCGTGCGTTATTTTTTAGTATAATTCTATACGTATTTCGGCAAATTCGCTTTTGCCTTCATCAGGAGGATTCCTAATATTAGGAATCCTCCTGATGAAGGCAAAAGCGAATTTGCCGAAATACGTATAGAATTATACTAAAAAATAACGCACGAAATAAAAGTTAACATTCTTAAAAAAACAAAACAGACTTTAATATAAATTTCGACGTAACAACTCAAAAAATTAATAACAAAATTACTCATTAGTATGTTCCGCGATTGTTAAACAAATTTTATTGTGAAATGGCAAACTTTCAACAAAACATATAATAACATATGAATTTGAATTATATTTGACAAATTTCACAAAAAAATTGCAACCAAAAAGGTCCACAAAGTGGATAATCCTATAAAATATAATATATTATATTATAAAATTACATATATAATTAAATAATAAATAATAATATGTTTCAGATTTGAATGGTGGAGGCGCTGGTGCTTCATATTGTTCAAGCTCTGTTGTTACGATGTCATCGGGCCCTGACGGTCGTCCACAAGTTTATCAAGCTACAACTAGCACAAAAACTGGTCCAGGCGGTGTACGTGAAACTCGCAAAACAATACAAGATTCAACAAAAGGTATTAAAAAAATGGCTATAGGCCATCATATTGGCGAACGTTCACATATTATTGAAAAAGAACAAGATTTAAATTCTGGTCAATTGGAAGAACGTCAAGAATTTATTAATTTGGAAGAGGAAGAAGCTGAAGATTTTGATCGTGAATTCACATCACGTGCACAACGTGGCATGGTGACTGGAGGTGCAGTGCATCGCCCACGCCAAGCAATAACCATTGAATCCGTCGACGATGATGATGATTATGAAGAACAAAGAAACCGTCATCGTCGACAGATGCCAGCTTTGCCCGCACCACCATCACACAACAGGTTAGTTTGTTATAAATGTTAATAATTGTATGCAATTTTATAAGTTATATTTAAAGGAAAAAATTCATGCAAAGCATTAGGTGCGTGTAAAAAGTTTAAAAATGCTTACATAAAGTTTATTTAGTTAAATATTTCTTCCTTTCCTTTTTTAATTTACAATTTTAATGTATAAATGCTTTGCGAGTTTGAACATGAAATATTAGAGCTACTAATAGGACTTACTATTATTTAGATTTTTAGGTTTTCCAAGCTTTCTTTAAATTTCTAAATATTAATTTATTAAATTGCTTTAAAGCTATATAAGTTCATATTTAATTTGCTTTCTTAAAATAATTATTTTTCATTAAGTTAGGATTTAATTTTTTAACTAATTTATTAGCTAATGATATCTGAAATTTATGAAGAGATATTGCTATAGGTGTTATTAATATAGAATAATATAAAATTTATAGATTAATAAATCTTATCTTCATAGTTTAAGTTTATAGTTATATTTTATAATCTTGCTATTTTTTATTATTAATTTCTTTTAGTTTTTATTTATTTTTATTTTAAAATAAAAGAAATTATTTTGAAACAAATAAAAATGATTTTTTGTTTATTTTTTGTTTTAATTTATTATTTAGTTTTATTTATTTTTTATTTGTATTTATTTATTTGTATTTATTTTTATTTGTACACCCAACTCTTTTTTTACACGGTTTTACACGGATTTGAAGTTACATGGTTGAAAAAAAAAAATTTTTGTAAAAAATTTTTAATCTAGTACGGTCTCAAAATCACCGTCTTGTTCGACATTTGGCATTTTTTACACGGTTTTTTTTACACGGTTTTTTTTACACAGATTTCTGAGGAACGTATCTACTGTGTAAAAAAATTTACACGGTGTATTTATGTATTTATATATGTAGTTATTTATTTTTAATTATATTTATTTATTGTTATTTGTATTTGTTTATTAGTTTTATTTGTATTTATTTATTTATTTTTATTTGTATTTATTTATTTATTTTTATTCGTATTTATTTATTTATTTTTATTTGTATTTATTTATTTATTTATTTTTATTTGTATTTATTTATTTATTTTTATTTGTATTTATTTATTTTTATTTGTATTTATTTATTTATTTTTATTTGTATTTATTTATTTATTTTTATTTGTATTTAGTTATTTATTTATTTATTTGTATTTATTTATTTATTTTTATTTGTATTTATTTATTTATTTTTATTTGTATTTATTTATTTTTTTATATTTGTATTTATTTATTTATTTATTTTTATTTGTATTTATTTATTTATTATTATTTTTATTTATTTATTTATTTATTTTTGTATTTAATTTTCTTTTTTTATATATATTGAGTCTTTTTGAGATTAGTTCATAATATTCTATTTCTTATATTCTAATAGTTTATTACAATAAGGTATTTTTTATAGACTAATTTGTTTTATTTGATTTTAATTGAATCAACTTCAATATTAATATAGAAATAAATAATTTATTGCCTTAATGATAAAGTATCTATTTTCGTATAAAGAAAAGGTTTATAGTAAATAAGTTTTTAACTACAAAAATTTATTTTTATTTGGCATTTTATTGAGCAGACCATACAGCCGTTTTAATGGTCTTTGAGCATATCTTGTGGTTTCACAGCCCATATATAATATTTGGATTTCTAAGTTTCGGAAAATTTGAAAAAAAAAACAACTATTATATTTAGTATTATATAGTTATTGTACATTTATATAGCTGTGGTTTGTGCGTTGGATTTGATTGATAACATTGCAATTATAAATAAACAATTATAAAGTATATTAAGTGTACATTGACAGGGTTAAAGTTCTGACTCTTGGAGTTCGAAAAATATATACGGACAATTAAACCTATAGGTGCTTTCAAAGAGCACTGATAATGAATATTTGGGAATATCTGAACCAGCTATATGGTTAATCAAGAAATTTATTTAATTAAAAATAAATTTTTGTAGTTAAACACTTTTCCACTAGGAAGGCTTTTCTATATTTTTGTAGAAAACAAATTTCTTTTAGTTTAAATTTTTTTTTGTAATAGTTATTACGTTATAAGTTTGTTTACTCGGGTTTTAAGGTAAAAATTATATTAATATCATCCTTATCTTTTAGCTTTTGATTTCTATAAACTTGTTCACAATAGTTTTTGAGACTTAATTTGATTTGTTTATGATTAAATTGCTATTGCAAAATTAGTGACATAATATAATCCATATAATAAAAAGGAGTTCATTCTTAAAATTTTTTATTTAAAATTAGTTCCTTTCGTCGTATTTAAAATTTAATATTTATTTCTTTACGCCTGCAAAGCGTACTAGTAGTTATTTTAGTAGTCTTCGATAGTTTCTTACGCCATTTGATTATCTTTAAAATAGTTCCATGACTTTTAAGGGAAATAATAATACCTTAACTTTGATTTTATAAGTAAAACGTTTATAGATGTTATCTATTAATGTGACATAGAACTTACTAATACTTTCTAGTATTTTCAATATTATTGCTTTTAAGAAAATCTCATTATTTAAGATTCAATATGATTTTTGGTGAACACTGGAAAAGGGGAGACAAAGGGCGAATGTTTTCTGGCTGACGCATACACAGGACACCTAAACTTTGTCAAGTATATGTTAATTATTTTACAGGCAGGCACTTTATTTAGTGCCTGCCTTTTCGACACTCCCAAGTCCAACTGTATGGCAATTGTTCCACGCGTTATGGTACGATTCGTCACTGTGACTTTTGTTACAATCACAATGTAATACAATCAGTGTTTCACGAAGTTCCTTCCCGAAGTTCCTTCTGGTATTTCTGAAATATCAATGAAAAATATTACTCGTCTAATAAAAATATTTAATAAAATGCTACTTTAGTTTGCTATTGAAAAAAGTATAATTAACTATTATAATTAAGTGTAAATGCAATGCCCTTTAAACTGTTTTAGAAGTTTTTTTTGGGTATGTTTGTTTTAAATATTATTTTATATATATTTTTTTTTAAGATTATTTTATATATCTTTTTTGTATATATTATTTTATTGTTTTTTAAATATTATTTTATATTTTTTTATTAAGTATTATTTTATATTGGTATATTTTTATTATTATTAATATTATTTTAATTTTTTATTAAATATTATTTTATATATATTTTTAAAATATTATTTTATTTTTCTATTAAATATTATTTTATATAGTTTTTTTAAATATTATTTTATAAATATTTTTTTTAAATATTATTTTAAATATATTTTTTAAATATCATTTTATAATATATTATATTATTTAAAATATTATATAATATATGTTTTTAATATATTTTTTAAATTATATTTAAATTTTTTTTAAATATATTTTATATATATATTTTTTAAATATTTTTTATATATTATATATTGTTTTAAATAATTTTAATTATATTTTTTTTAAATATTTATATTTTTTTTTAAATATTTTATATTTTTTTAAATATTTTTATATGTTTTTTTTAAATTTTATTTTATATTGTTTTTAAATATCATTTAATATATTTTTTTTTAAATATTTTATTTTTTTATATATTTTTTTTAAATATTTTATATTTTTTTATATATTTTTTTTAAATATTTTATATTTTTTATATATTTTATATTTTTTTATATATTTTATATTTTTTTATATATTTTAAATTTTTTTATATATTTTAAATTTTGATTGCACTTCCAAACTTCATAGATTTTTTAATTTAATTTTTAAATCAAATTATATATGTTTGAATATATCATTAAATGTTTTGTGTATGTGAACAATTTATTTTATTCTGGATATTACCTAAGTTATTTTTCAGCTTTATTTTATTAAAATTAAATTGAAATAAAATATAGAAAAAATGAAAATCAATTTATATTCTCAAAATATTTGTATTTTTTGCAGGCATTATAATAATAATAATTATTATTAAAAGAGATATTAATTAACAACAGTTATCCCTACAAATAAAATATTAATTATTCACTACACATCTAACTAAAAAAAATACTAATTTTGAGGTAATGCAATTAACAAAAAATTTTTTAGTAGTTTCGTTTTGTTTTTAACTAATCTTTTTTAATGATTTGTCAATATTAGTTGAATTTTTTATATTTTGAATGATTTTTATATAGCATAAATTATAAAAATTTATATAATTTATCGTATTTTAGTTCTATACTCTACCCTACATATCGTCCTATGTACATACGTATATTTTATTCCTAGCCCATCATGCACATCTCAGATATTTAATTCTCTTTTACTGAATTCGCATTTTTTTCTTCATCAAATCATTAATTATTTAAATACCAACAACCAGTCAAACAAACGTCTCAAACGCTTATAACAACGTTAGCAATTAAAGGATTCGTTTTAAACTAACTACTACCACGTATTATCTTCCAACAAACAAAAAAAAAAAAATAAAATAAAACAAATAGTATTTTAATATATATCTTTACTACTACTATTACCATCAACACATCAAATTGAATGAAAAATAAAAAAACTTTTGATTTTAAATATCCACATTTATAAACATTTTGTTATACTTTATAAATGAACTTTTCCGAATTCACTTCGTCAGCTCTTCTTCCGCAACTACTACGAAGCCAGCTGCATCGCGTGCAAATGCTACTGAATCTGCTACTAACGGCGTTAATAACTACAACACGCTCAACAACAATAAAAACAACTATTTGGGCACTCCAAGTAGACGCGCTTATCGCAGTCATCATTTAACCGGCGCAACAACTCGCAGACCTCTACGTACTCCTTTGTCATCGCCGCTCGCTACAACTGCAGCTACTCACAGTCTAACTACAACGACATCGCCAAGGTTTGTTACAAATAGCCTAAATTTTCGCAATAAAAAAAAAATATATACATACATATATTTACATACCTAAATTGCTGCATATATAAAAAAAAACTATCTCAATACGTATTTACTTATATTTACATCGAGTTACAACTATAACTGCTATTGCAAATATCGTAAGAGAATGTACCTCCGCTTAGGTGGAGGGAGGTTATCATACCAATCTATCTTATTACAACTGCTACGCCAAATATATTTATTAAAACTTTTACATCTGTATATTGGAGAAAGTATCTTTCATGATTGATAAACATTTACTTCGCAAATCGTTAAATCTTCGATCCACACACTGGTGTGCTCTTTCTTGACTCATGAATATCGTAATTCGCTTAAGGTTTCGTCTCATTAGAAATCATATGATTTAAGGTATGCACGGAATACTTCGCTTCAGTTCATATGGTCTTTTAACGGAAAACTTCGACAACTATCACATATACATTATGTATCCTTTCTGCAAACTAATCGTCATCGTCGTTTTAATACTTAGAACCACTCGTCAATATTCACGTCAATTATAACATATACCTCTTCGTTTATCTCTTCGAATATTCCTCAAACGCAGCGTTCGAATATAAAACAAATTTTGTTACTAAAGCTTTAGAAGTTTTAGTTTAAAATGTTCAGATTGAATCGAATAGTTCGTGACACTATCCATTCACTGTTCCTATTAATATTCGTCGTTGAAAGTATCGTTAAATAGTCAGCCGTATCCTGTTACCTTGATTAAATGACATCTGGCTTTCCTTGGTTATAGTTAGTTTGCATAAAGCGCTATTATCGTTAGTTAAAAGTGCTTTTGACTAAGCATTTTTAAATATAAAATTCTGAAATTTAGTACATTCATCTAACTATAAATATTTGGGCTTTAATAAGAGTACTACATATTATATGTTTATTTCGTGTACATTAGTTGGATCGTTGATATAAACAACTTGTTTCAAAATGTTTTAAAGTGGGACCTCATACATTTTTCCTGTTTTATGAAAAATTTGATTTATACCCTTAACGATTCTCTCTAAATATTAAATTTTTGACGAGCTGCTTTATATAGTTATATCGATAAGCGCGTTTGTTTCATTTTTCTAAGGATCGCCATTCTACCATACTTTACACAACCATATCACCATAGGCCTAGTTTTTTTGATCATTAATGTACTCTACTTATATATCAGGTTCCAAGAACGGTCGGGTCTACGTCCCGGAGCCAATCGTCACCTACGACGACCAAGTACCGTTCAACAGCTCCCAAAGGGATTCCACAAGTAGGTCCCGGCGGGTTACAACAACAACAACAACTTATATATATCAGTATATATCAATTTTTTGGGATGGTCGTTCTGATCTATTTTCAAAAGAAGTCTAGGCGGATATAAACCTATTCCACACTATTTCATAAAATTTTATGAAATAAGATATATATTTCCTTCCTTATAAATATCCAGGACTTATTAAATATTTTCCTCGTTCATCTGAGTCAAATATTAATCACTGTTTATTTTTTTAATAATGTGATTCATTTTTTTTTGTTAGTATCTTGGCCGAGTATTGGTATATATTCGTATCTCGCCCAATTATTTTCTACATATTTATAAATCATAATTTGTTGATTTGTCTTTGTGTCATATATATTTTCTACGTTTAATTAATATATATTTGTCAGACGAGTGAAGCAGATAAAATATTTCATATATAATATTATATATGGTCTGACTTTTTAAGAACTCTGGCACGTACCACCAGATATTTATTAGTCCTTTGTAACTAAAACTTGGTCTCTAACTGAACAGTAAATATCGATACTGTTTAATGCTGACCAGAAAGTATGTTTTCGAAGTATTTTATAAGATTAACAGCGCTGCCGTTAATAGATTTTACAGATCCAGCCTATGTTATAGTTTTGTTTTAATTGATCTTCAATAATTTTAGGCCTCTTGAAAATTTTTATAAGTTACCAAAAAAAATAAAAAATATTTCAATTATAAAAATAAAAGAATATTAATTTTAGATTTTTTCAGCCATATTACTTTATAGATATAAAGTAAAAAGCGTTATAAAAAATTTAAATGACATTTAAATTTTAAAGGTTTCTGTACCTTATTATGATAAACCCAAACAGTTAAAAGCAATTATTATTGTCCTTTAAACCTTTTATATTGAATCTGTGTTCTGTTGGAATTTCTGTATATAAACCTGACATCTACTATATATATTTTAAAATAGTGACTAACAGGATATTCTGGATCTTAACATAGCTGCAGAATGTGTATTTCTTTCGGAGACACTGTTTTACTTATTTATGGAACAGTCTGCCTTCTTTGCCTTTTTAGGACGGATACCTAAAGTGCGACTATCCGACATTTTTAATATTTTAACAGTTTGTGATGGATCCAGTAAAGAAACCGTTTTCTGTTCAATAAAAAATTGAGCAGCAGGAGAACATGCTTTTAGAAAATATATCTTTTCCAATATTGGCTTTTACATCTATAACAACCTTAGTGAAGCAGAGACATTCGGTTGCTTTAAGAATGTCCGGTGGTTCATTTTGTCTTGGATAGCAAACTGGAAATGATATCTAAAGCACCACTACCCTTTATTTTTTTTAAGTGGTTGAAAGTAAAAGGAATAAAACTTATCAGTTTTGGTTGGTAGGTCAGATTGGGGAATTGAGTCAGTAAAGATAGAGTTGCTTATACGTTATTTAAATATCATTTTAAATCTTAGTAAATTTAATTTCGGGCATTCTAAAACCAATAAACATGTAAGAAATAATATATCTTTTAGTCGTATGGGAGGATTAGTGTAGTGCGGTTCATAAATTAACATTTTCTAGTTACCGATTTCGGATATTGTGGCTAATTTTACAAGGCGGGTTGTTAAAACCTAGTAACCCATATCCGCACTTCAGTCTGACGCTGTGGTTTTTTCCCATGCTGCGTAATGTCAGTCATTGGTAACTAATTTTACGGGATGAGCGCCAAACCTAGTAACTCAATTCTGAACTTCAGTCTGACACTCCACTTTTCTCCCATGCTTCTCGTCCGTCATTAAAAGCTAACTTTAAGGGACGGAGACCAACCCGGGACTAAGTAACCTGATTTCAGTTTTCAGCTTAACTTGTTCCTGTCTTCTTCGATTCTGTATTTGATTATTTAAGTTAAGAAATTTTTTATCTCTCGAATAATTCTTTTATAAAGTCGTTTTATGATTCTTTTATGCTGCGTAAGCATTATAAATACAACACATTCATCCAAAAAAAAACTCGATTAAAATTATAATGTGGTCTCAAATTTAATTATACGTATGCTAAAGAAACTAACAATTGGCAGGTGAAAAAGAAACAATACTGATAATTAAAATTTACTATATATCCTTATGAAATTTTGCTAACATATCCTTAAAATAATATGTACTAGTATATATAACTACTTAATTACTTTCTACATATATACTTATTTGACACAGAGATTGGCGTTTATATAATCCACGTTTTTATCGCAAGTAAATAATCAACTCATCACCAAACAATATATATTGAATACGAACATATATTGTTTTGTATAGAATGCATCATAACATTATTAACCTACTCATACGATATACGACTTATGCTATATGATTTATAACAACACGACAACTACGAAAGACCCCAAAGCAACAACTTCATAGTCAAGAAGCCACACACTGTACGTCTCTAGCAACCAACAACTAATAATCAAACTAAATTAAGTTCATTAAACCTGTCTCAACGAATGCAGTTTACCACACACATAGTGATCAAGTGAATAATACATCATCGTAATAGTGATCCAGTATCGTAATAACGAAATTTTGATGATTATATGTTATTTATAAACCGAGAGCTGCGTAACGTAACACTTTGAGATGCCATATGATTTGACTATTTAATTGAGATTTCTACAAAGTTTGCTGTGCGCTGCCTGCAACACACACGTTTTGTTCATCCCGTTCCAAGCTGCATCCATATGCTCTCTTTGCTGCGGTGGTATGGTGGTACTACGTGTAAGAATTTTACAATACGTCAAAATTAATTGCTTATGTATTTCCACAGTACATCTACAGTTTTGTCTGCATTATTTATACATAAAATTATAATTTGATTTATTTATTTCAATATAATGTGTAAAAATAGATCAAAAATAATAGATTGATAAAAAGAAACGCTTTATATCTTGAAATCAGTGTTGGCAGACACCTGTTTTAAGTTAGATAATGTATGTATATCGTGTGCATGCCGTCGAAATCTTTTATTTATTTAAACAGACTTAAAAAATTAAAAACCTTTACAAATTGCGCTACGCCAAAAAATCGTTTCATATCATCAACACTGCTTCAGCTACCGATTTGCAATTGTATATATTGCTTTCACATAATCGTTTAAACTGGATAATAGAGCTTCTAGTAACGGATCGCCATCAGTACTTAAATTTATATATTACTACGCTTCCTCCGAGTTTGGCATACTTACTACGACGATTTCGTGTTGAGTTATTACGTCGTAGTAGCATTTTCACATTTATATTTATTTGATATATCTGATAGAAAATATGAACGGAAACTAATTATAACTCACGACTGCTTAAGTACCCGACATCAATTCTCTCGACAGACATTTGACTTTGTGAACTGTTTCTTGTCCAATCTAAAAAGGTGCATTGTTCCAAATTATGATTTGGTACTAGAAAAATTGTCTGTGACAATAGTTCTATTAAATTATGTTAATAAATTATTCAGGTATTGACTCGGGTATCATCAAGCAAAGGAAGGACCAATATAAAGGCTAGTGACATGATACTATACATAATCCTACATAAAAGTCCCGCATTACGTGTCTGAAATTTTCTTCTTCGCAAGAATACCAAAACAATACGTTTCTTTTGTATGTTCTGCGATTGTTTACCGATCCATTTTGTAAAATGGCAAACTAAACAAGAAATTAAAATTAAATTAACAATATGATGTCTCCAAGGTCAGTACTGCCAAATTAGAGCACATAAAGGGTTTGAAGTTTTTCACGTGTTCAGTTCCGAAACTTTTATAATTTGGAACATAATTAGATAATAAAGATAAAGAAATTAGAAAAAAAAGTTAAGTATATTAGGTTTTAGTAGATTCAGTAAAAAACACTTGAAGATTCTTCAAGAACCTTTTAGGAACAATTTAAATAAAATACTACAGGACTTGTTAAATTTTTTAAATACACTGGGAATATTTCAACAAGACTTAAGAAAAAGTTAACTCAATCCTAATCCACTGCTAGTAAACATTAAGAACACTTCAAGAAGTTTACTATAATAAAACCTATATTTTACAGGTTTTCAGGAATGAAGTACCGTTCGACATTTATCTTGGAAGCTTCACCGCACACATAGGAAGCGAACAAAACAAATTTTTGCATATAATTTTTTACATTCCACAAAAAAAAACAAATAAATACCGGACCACTAGTATTTTAATAGATCAGTTCAAAAAGTATTTCAACCAATTTATTCGAACAATTTTTAGAATATTTTCAGGACATTTTAAAAACATTTCAAGACGTTATACGTTAACATTACCCTAAGAACTATTCAACAACGCTTAAAAAACATATTATTAAAGACTTTCGAATACATTACTAACATTTTAAAAATACTTCACACTAGCTTTGGATATATAGCTTCAATTTAATGCGATTTTTAGGTTCAGACCTTATTGCAAAAAAAAGTTTTTTAAAAATGTGATCCACTTTTTTTTTATTATAGTTTAAATAAATTATTTTTTGTTATTAAAAAATTTTTAACTTTTAAGTTTTATATCTGATTATTCTCAAATCTGTTTCTTTTTTAATATCTCTGTTTTAATTCTATAAAATATGTAGGGATACGATATATATTTTTCCTCATTTTGTTTTTTCAATCTTCAACCTTTCTTTTGTATAGATGATGAGTTGTTTGAAATATATCTCGTTTATAAATTTAATATAATCGATTTTCTTCTAAAAATAGAGAAAAAGGAGTGTATTTATTCAAAAGTACTCCACAAAAATTAATAAAAATAGTAAATTTAAAGATTAATTAAGATATATCCTACATAGATATATATATAATAATATATATAGTTTATTGGTTGTTTGGAAAAAGTATCAGGCAACTACATTTCTTCTAACTCAAGATCCTTTTTTTTTTTTGCTTTAATTTTTTTTATTAGTATTTAATATGACTGAATATTTAAAGTAGAATGTGGCAGTGAGAATAATGACCCAAAGTTTCTATTCCAGAAATTAAGCAGTTCTAACTTAATTCTTTATTAAAACATTTATTTTGTTTTAATCGGTTTCGGTTTAGGTGATTTATATAAACGATATTTTTATTTGTCTTCAAATATATTTTTTAATTATTATTAAAACACAACTAAAAATTATATTTTCACAATATGGTACACTTATAATTTTTATAAAAACAAAATATAACCGTTTCAGAAAATTGTGATCAGTTGATCATAAAATACAAAATGTATTTATGGATTATAGCACAATTTATATATATATGTTATTATGCATATAATTGTTATATACTATTTACTACTCATACATTTCATTGTTTGATCATTATTATATGTCATAAACCCCTTCAATGCATAATTCACATTCCTTCGCATGTATTTCTTTCATAATTTACTTATAACGATATATTTCAGCGACAATTTTATTCTTGATAATAATTTAAAAAAAAATACTCTTACATTTATTGGAACCGTTGACCATTTTGTCCCGGTAGTGTGAAATGCTTAACCTACCTTGTATTGTAACTCTTCTAGTATTAGTGTGAGTACTAAAATCTAAACGGGGACATATGTTATTTCAAAATACTAATAAGTTTTAGTAGAGAATATTGTATTGTTCTCATAAGCTTTTAAACATATTTTTATGTGTCTATAGTTTAATGCAAATCTGCAACTAATATGATCGCTTGCCTATTCAGCAGTAGCGGGAATTGCAGATTTTAATTATAGTTATAACATTAACAATATGGATTTTTTTTGACGTAAGTAAAACTGATTATGTCGTTACTAGAGGTGCTTTAAACTATAATCTGCAAATACGTCTAGTCCTAATATGTACCCAAACTACAGCTCTACCCCCAATAATCCCGTTCATCTGTTCTCTTACCCCACTGCACATACAACCCTCTGTCGAATCTATCTTTGGATCCACCAAATTGAAGTAACCTGGTCTCTTCATTTAGATATGGGTTGATTTTAATTTAAACCCCAACCATTCTCATCGAACCTCACTCCCTCATTTCCCCCCCACTACTCACAATTAACCTTCACCTATCCACATTCTAACCCATATGTTCGTCTGCTTTCTTGGTCCCAGCGGGTGGCAACAGTAAGAGCTGAAATCTGCAGAGCAGTAAATGTAGAGTTAGGTTAGTTAACATATAGCAAGTAGGAGAATGAGAATGTCGTGACTTAAACCTAAAAAATGAGATGTACATAAATTATGAATTAAAAGTTTCGTTGAGACGACATATTTTTATCAGGAATATTTTGCGTTTATAAAAAAAAATAAATTGATGCTATTAGATACCAAAGGCAGGTTTGAACCGTTTTTTTAATCAAGTGTTTAGGTAAAGTATTACACTTACTTTAATAGTGATCTGATAATACTGTCACATATGGATGGCTTGATGTAGTAGGTTTCTCTTAAGTAATACGCAAGTTGGCACAATTAATGTGTTTGGTACATTACAATAGATTTTCTATCGTCTCGCTATATTACCTTGCCATTAGATGTGAACAAGACAGCTTATGGTGATAGATTATTTTAAGTTGATTTTAGTTAACTTGGTTATGGTCAATAGCTTAACCATAACTTGATGGATGATAGTTTCCAAAGTATCGCAGGTTTGATATTATGAGAACGCAATGGTCTGAAATCATGAGTCTTGATTTTTAACTCTTGTCTCTTGTATTTTGTCTATTGCATTGTTTGTCAACATATCCGTCAGAAGAAAAAAAGTGAATCTCGGAACTGAAGAAAATTGGATATGAGAAATCGTCACCGTTTAGTAAGTTTCACGACGTTCAGCGATTGTTGAACTATCAATATTATAAAATGACAAACTCAACAAGAACTGAACATACATAGTATTGTCTAATAAGGATCACGAATTGTTAATGTAAAAATTATTAATTATTGCTGAACCGCTGACGTTATAAGTAAATAAAAATTGTTTAATTTCTCTCATAAAAACATCAACAATATTTTTTTTTGTTTAGAGTTACTAAAAGTTTTTGTGTTATACTAATATAATACTATATGTTTCGATTTACTATAGTTTATTAATATTTATTATTGTTTTATATTGTTAATTGTATTTAATCATATAATATAATTTTAATACTTTTTTTTAATATTTACAGCATTCATCCTCATCCCTATAATACAGCAGCAGCTCGTAGGAACTACCGTGCAAAACACACGAAGCAACATCAAAAGTCTCATGAGCACCAACATGAATAATTCAATTTAGATTAATATAGGGTGTTGCATTGCTACTAATAGATGCTATAAACTTAACTAAAGAACTAAACTCACAAAGCTATAAACACTTCAACCAACAACGCTTTGACACCATCAAAAATCAACATTGCGCAGTGCGACACCTCAAAACAACATCAACATTACATTAGATTTTAGTAAACAACACCTGAATTTCTTTTAAAATCTTTTTTTTTATACAATTTTTCTTTATTATACACTTAAATATATACAATGGAATGCTATTCCCTTTCTTCAACTGGTGGTAGCAGTTCTTTAATGTTTTTGGAGACTAAATTTTTGATGTATACCAAATTTTCAGCGTTTTCAATGTTTTAATTATAAACTTGCGATTAATTTTAATTTAAAAAAATATAGAAATTGTTTATAAATTTAAATTTGTTTTAATGTAATTTAATAAATTTTTAATTTTTGTAAAATTTTTATTGTTCTATAACAACATTACACCATTATATTCCTAGACTAAAGGCAAACATTTGATAAAGTAGTAAATTAATGTAAGTTATCTATATAGCAAATATTTGAATATTATTTTCAGTTTATATATTTTTTTGAACTAATTTTTATTACAATAATTTTTTTAATAAATATGTATTTAATATATGTGAAGTATTTTTCACTTATGTTTATTTTATGTAAATTAAAAAAGTTTTGATATAAATTAAGTTTAACAAAAATGTAAAAGTTAGCCAATATTTTTTAATTAATACAATATAAAAAAAGAATATCTCAACTATAACCTGCTTAAGTATTTTTTTTATAACTTCAAATACATATACTATTTAATAATAATCCCATAATTGACTTATAAACTCTTACAGCTTCGGCTTTCATCACTAAGAGTTCTGTATGCCTTTAGTCATAAATTTATAAATTTGTTTTTAGAAATTTCTTATAAATATTATTATTTCAACAAAATTATTTGTATTTTTAAGTATATTTATGTCAACAATATTGAAATAATGAGATGATGAATACAATTACAATGTTTATAAAGACAATTTAAAATAATTCTTATTAATTGGATTAAATAATGATCAAATTTAGGATTTTAATTCAAATTATGTAAATTTTACTTATTCAACTTGATTTGAAAAATAAAATTTAAGCACATTTTATGAAATGTAGTTTATATATACATAATGTGTTTATTATATTTAACAAATTTGAATTCAAATGAAAATTTTTGTCTTATATCAATTTTTTGTCTTATATATTTTTCTTAGTCTAATATATATTCTTTTTTTTCTTATAACTTCTTTGCCCTATATATTAAAAAATATTGTTTTACCAACACAAAAACAAAAATATATTAATTATATACATATTTAGAACATTTGTATTCAAATGTCTACTTTATTTGTATTAGATATTAAAAAAGAATTGTATTAGTTATATGTTGAAATATTTTATTTAGTGTTTAAACATAAATGTTAATTTGAATTCATGTTTAATATTTAATGTGCAACTATGTTTTTATATTTATCTTTTTTATTTTAAACGTTGCGCTTTATATAACAATGAATAACTTTATAAGAAATTTTATGTTTCTTTTATTAAAATTAAAATAATATAAATATAAATTATTCAAATGTTGCAACTAATATGACAATGAATAATTTTGTTTATTTTTTTTTTTTTTGAACACTGAAAGATACAAATTTATAAAATATGTTTTTAAATAACCCATTCGTATATTTTAAATGTTAAAAATTGCAATTTCCAAAATGTTACACTTAATGAGACACTGAAACGATTAAATTAGTTTATAAAGAATTATTAGTTTAGTTTGATTGGTTAATATTGCGTACCTAATTTAACCATAAATACGTATTTTTATTTTATATACATTTAAGATTAAAAATATTAACGAAGATTCTTATTCCTTATAAAAAAAAAACAAAATCAAATCAATATTTTTACATTGAATATTGAAATATATTATATAAAATTTTATTGTTTATTCTAAACAATTAAAATTATAAATCATAAAAACTTAATAGGTTTTGTGTAAAAAATTAAAAAAATATTTTTTGTAAAGTGGCAATTTTCCACTTTATATACATTGCATCATACTTCAAAAGAAAAAAAAAATAATATAAAATATAAATAAAAATAAAATTATTTTATATTACTATATAAACTCGTAAATAAGGTGAAAAAGATCTATGCTAACTTATCTTGGCTAAGTAAAGTTACCTTTACGAAACATATATATGTAATATTTAACTACAATTATATGTAATAAATTTAATGTTAGGTTAAAAGATTATTAAAATCTCACATATAAAATAAACTATATCGTTAAACTATACGAAATGCCAAGTGTTCTTATTTTATTAGATACGTATATTGCTCTTCTTTAGAGAGTAATTGTGAACAGACAGAGATTTTTTTAATTTCTTCAAAAATTATTTAATTTTTAATGTTTCTTCCATGCCCTGCAAAGTAGGCACCCTTTAATATTAAGCAAAACGTGGAGAAGAACGGTCGGAAGTTAGTTAGCTGAAGCACGATATATAGATGGAACGACATCTACAGAGAAGCACCAAAATAGAGTCAGATTTAGAAGAATTATTAAAGCCATATGCGACACTAAGGGAAGTAGACAATAGTGGTAGGAATATTGTGTTGTAACTCGTGAAGATCTATATATTATAGAAGAAAGTACGAATAAATACTTAGAATGTGATTGTGTAAAGATAGACTGAAATTTGTTTGGATAGGGGATGAGGGCGTGGTTGAGACTTAATTAAAATTAGTGTGGGTTAAGGTAAATTAAACACTGGTCAGGTTTCAAATTAGTATTTGCATTAAAGCATTAGTTTGCATTAGTATTTGCATTACACTAATTTTGACTAATATTAATTCCTTTGCAATAGATTCGATGTGTTCATGATACGAGAAAGGTGTTAACGATCCAGCGTTGAGGAAGAGATCTTTTGTTCAGTTGGCTCTTACTTTGTTGTAGTTTAAAGATTCGAGATTTCACTTGACTCACCTATTGTCAAATAAAGTGTTTTAATAAAAAAAATAATATCGCATGGTGCCATGTTTGAAAAATAAAGTGGTTATAGGTGATGACGATGTTATGTGTTGATACAAAATTTTGGATCAGAAAACCAGAAAAACATCTTTATTGAGTGCTTAAGTTATCTGCAAGCATTGAACAATCAAGAATACATAATTTTAAATACAACTCATTGCAATTATAAATTTTTATTTTATACATTACTATATAATTACAGCCGATACATTAATATGTTCTTAAAACAGAATTAACACCCCCCAAATTTTAAATGAAAATTTCTAAATTAATTATTATCTAGTCGTGCTTCAGTGTCACGCCAGTTACGTTTAATCATATCAACGACGTAAAGGAAAAAACGCGACTTCGAAAAGGAATTACCAGCACAAAGTAATATGAAACTCCAGGCAAGTAATAAATTTAAATCAGTTCCACTTGTAGGTTCCAAAGGAAGAGGTCCAGTTATCTCTGTTATATTAGGTAATGGATCAATTGGTTTCATACCCGTGTGACGTGTAACGAAATTAATAAAGTCCCCACTGTCGCTGTAGAATTTGACTACTGGTCTACCTTGATGAAACAGCATTAAAGTAGGTAAACCAACGACTCCAAATTCAGTATTAAAATTTGGAAATTTATGAGCATCAACAGCAGCCATGCGTAGTTTGGGAAACACATGTGGTAGTTGATTTGCATGTGGAGCGCCATGTGCACAGATTAAACTTGTTTCAGCGTAGAAATATAAGAGAACACAACTGCCAGGCTCATTGCGTTTGGTGGAATTTCCAATTGGTTTTAGCAGTGTTATGACATCCTTAACACTATGGATAATTTGCAGTGTGCTGTTTTGTACAGTATCATTTACAATTAATGGTGGTGCTGGAATGCACTTAACCATAATATGCGCTTTACGCGCTCCTTCGCCCGTACGTGGTGGCAATAAATGTTCAATGTAGTGATCATCACGGGCACATGACACCAATTCGTGATGGGTTACATGATCCATAAAATCATACAAGCATTCACCACGAGATTGGCCCAACTCCTCCAAAGTCATATTGGCTACATCCTTCCACTTGGAACTATTTAGTAAGTTCCCTAAACCCATCATATTCAATATAGACTGAAAGGCATGCAACTCAACTGCAACCGTGTTTTGCAGTGGCAAAACTGAAAGATATGAATTCATATATTGCATTTGAATTGTAGTAAAAGAAATTTACTTACCAAGCAATAAAATTAACACAAATTTATAATACACCATTTTTTGACTATGTTTTGTCGAACAACTTCACTGCCCACTGCACAATTTGTAGATTTCAATTTTTGTTTGTTTGTCTGTCAAATAAAAAAAATGACAGCTTATTTTATGGTGAATATATGGAGGTGAATAAGAAATGTTGTTAAATATTCAAAGTTTGAACACTACGTGGCGCTGTGATAAAATTTAAAAACATTCGCGCAAAAATTGGAAGGATTTGATATGAATTTAAGCCTCTATTCAATATATTTCATATATAATTTTGGAATACATAAGATAATTTCGTATATATAATTTGATAGTTTATTTCTTTACAATAAAAACTCAATGCTGTTATGAAATAAAAAATATATATGGTACAATTAAATTAACTAATATAACATAATGTTTCCACGTAAGAACTAATGGATCCAACTAGTGAAAATAGAACTAAGAATAAAAAGAAATGATATTGTATTATTTTCATACAATAATATAATTTTACTGTTGAAAAACCATTAAAAATTAGTTTAATAGTTTGTAGTATAAATGAAATGTACTTTTTGAAAATATTTTAATTTTATTTTCTAACATTTCCAAAAAATGATTCTTAGTTTTCGTTTAAATTATATTAGTTAATTTCAATTTTATTTTTAAAATTTATAGCTACTAAACGCCAGATTGTTCGAAAATCTTGAGATAGGCTGTTTGAAGGATGCCATAAACACATTTTACTATACTGGTGTCATCTATTATACACACAGGCTGATGAATCCATAGCATACCTACTACAGCAACTTTTTGGCAAAGTTAGACACAGCAGTCTCCTTAGGAGACACAACAGTCTCCTTCAAGAGTAATACAATAATTCCACCACTTTTCTAACATTTCAATATCTCTCTGATAGAATTATTCATCTTTGGCTTTATAATAAGTGTCAGCTTCAACAATGACTTATCATTGCAACCATCTCTTTCCTTTGTGCATTTTTTGGCGGATAATAATTGAAGTATAATTCGTTTAATTTGGCTATGGTAGGCAACGACTGGTAACACGGCTCATTATCTTGCATTTTTCTTCTTCGTATTTGTCGTTGTTCCGTGATTTTCTCATGCAAACGCACCAGTTGACCCACACAGTTATCTCAATTGATGGTCTCTCTATTGATCTCTATTGATTAAAGTAGTTTGACGACTGATGTTAACTTCGCTGACGGACGATTCGTACCTGGAGTGAAGTTCTGAGTCCATGTTTTGTTAATTTCTACATACCGACGCAAAAAGTTCTTTTATGTCACTTCAACAGATCTCATTCATTCATATGCGTTGACCTGCGAATTCACATCGGGTGCTCTGACCCAAAGACCAACAGAAGTTGGATGGGCTCCGCTTATTATCAAGGACGAAGTTATGCCAAACACAAAACTTCAATTGGTGCAGGCGTAAATTTCTTGGAATTTCCAATCGGCGCATTATCTTGATACTTGTATTTTTAAAACATCGTGGTATTAAAACTTCAATGCAAATAATCACGTTGAACAATTCTGAGTTCTGTCCTCGGGATTGCGTTATTATTACATCGTGGTAAGGTCCAAGCCGCGCTGCTGCTTCAGGTAGCTAGCTTTGTACTTCGTCTTGGTGTCATACCTCTGCTTACTTCAACTGCCTTTTGTCGAGATCTACTTTTTAACCTCAGTATCTTTTCAGCAAATATTGTAATGCGATTCCAGTTTGTTTAATTAATTCGAGAATTTAATTTAAATATTGATTCGATAGAATTAAATGCATTATGACTCTATTTTTCTGGAGTGAATATAGAGTGAATATATAAATATATATATATACATATAAGTGAATATAAAGAATAGAGTCTGTAATATAATATTATTTATGAATTGTTTAAAGAACTATTATTTGTGAATTTTTTAAGAGTATGCAAACTCGGATTTAGAAGTCACTTCTCAAAAAATTCCATCCTCAAACCATTTAGTAATGACCTGCACTATATGTAGCTGATATTAATACTACTTTTGATAGTTAACACTAGGATGTGTATACCATGTTCAACATGCACAAAAGCAGCACTTCAACAATTGGTATTAATTGCGAATTCTGCAACATATGTAGCTACATGTGTTGTTATTGTTTCTCAAAATGCTACTGGCTCCATAAGTATTTGTACGAGTATATGCATGAGAGTTCCAAAAACATTTTGTACTTCCCCACATATTGTATATACATACTTATACATGTACCTATAGATGCTCGTACTTGAATCCGTAAATCTGCATATGTACGCATAGATGATGAGGTGCTTTGCACAATTGTGTTCAACTTCCGCTTTTATGGACAACATTGGAACACTTTAGCATGATAAGTTGATGCTTCTGGTATTATACGCCATGAATATCACAACCGAGAAAAACCTATTGCATACAATACAACAATAACAATAACAACTCCAACAACAACAAGTTATTCGTTTGTGTGCAGCGGTCTATCTATGTGGGTCCATCTTCTGGTAAGTTATTCTGTCATATGCATTCAGGCATTGGTGTATGCATAATTCAGCTGCATGATAATCACAACAACCGAAGTTGCAACAGCAACAGCAACAGCAACAGCATCTACAGCAACAATAAGAGTGGCGAAGTGTGGCACAGGAAACGCAATTGCAACAACAATGTCGAAGAGTTTATGAACAAGTTTAAACAGAAACAATAACAACAACATGTCAAAGTTGGCTCATAAATCCTTCAAGAATTATAAAACCGATTTTATTTATGCACTTTACCAATGTAAATACAATGTCCATCTGTTTGTTTGTCCGTCAGTTCGTCAGTTCGTCTGTCATTTCGGATCTGCGTGTTTGTCTAGTGAATAATTTGTCTGCGTTTTAAGCTAAGTGTGTGGTGCGTCTGTATTGATTAATTCACCTGTCTGATCCAATAAGCTTAACTGTCAATTATGCTTTCCCATATCCATTACTGAACTCACTTGTACTTTTTAAACTTGTTGAGTAGGAAAATGGTCATTAAAACACCCTGTATTTTAATTATACTGCAATGTCCATTTAATTTTATGTACCTAACGCACTTGAGCACCATTTTTATTTTCAACTTTCACTGAAGCCTTAACTCCATTTTGTTTTGGTAATAATTTAAAATGAAGTATTTGGGGGGCTCAAAATGCATTTCATTAACAGTGTTGCCACTGAATTGTTTCAACATTTGTCACTGTCAGCGCAAATGTTGGTATGCTTTAATCGTTTAGCATTCCCGTTTGACATTGGTGGAGTCCTTTTCGAAGTGGCACATGAATTATTGAATCTAAAATGGCAGCACATCCGTTTCCTGTAGTTCAAAAATATTTCATATTAGCACGTAGCTAAGCATTAACATTTTATAATGTTTGTATGTATGTAATGTATGTTCAATTCGGTAAATTCTAAACGGGAGCTTACTTGTGTTAGTTGGATTTGAGTGCGTATGTTGGTAACTGAAGTAAATTAAGTAACTAAAATGAAGAATTAAGAACTCAAATTAAAGATTTTTAGTTGGATTTGAAGAAGATGACATTAATGTGGCAACACATAGATCATTGCCATAACTAAGAAAATTTTTTTTAAAAGTTTATTCAAATAAAATTATTAGAGATAAATTTTAATTGCTCTCTACAATATAAGAAGTTTTTTAAAAATTTTTCTACAATATCTATTTTAACCAAAAATCTATACTTAATTCTCTATGCAGAGATACTTAGCTCGATACGTGAACCTTAATGTAAAATAAATACCTTTAATCCTAATCCCAAAGCTTTACTACTCTTTGAACCTCTTTAAAATAGGTTTTAATCACATACAGGTTTTAAGACAAGGTTTTCACCTAGGGGTAGTGAAGTTTTCACCTAAAAACTAATAATATACAAATTTTATAGAGTTCATAATCTTTGCCGTGTATTTTAAATAATAGTTATGCTTTTAGTGAAGTTATATATTGTTTTGAAGTGGTTAAGATATTTTATTACAATTCAAATATTTATATGTATTAATATGTACCACATATATTTTATATATAATTCCAACAGGAACACAGATTGTTTATATAAAATTTCTAATTCTGTTTGTTTAAAGCTAAATATTGTAGTTCGTTAAAAGGTTTTCCGATTTCGTTGAAGATGGTGCATCTCCATGTAATCTTGGGTCTACCACGCCTTCTGCTGCCCTGCGGATTTCATTCCAGAGTAACATACAAGTATATCAATATTTTATTCAAATTTTTTTTTCTTTTATTTATTTATTTAATTAATCTTTCTTAGAAAGAAATTTCAATAGAAATTGACAATAATTTTGCAAATCTTAAAAAACTAGCATGTATGCTATTGAGCTATGGTATTCATATTCATCAATGATTTTCTTTTAAGGCGATTTGTTGCAGTTGCAGAAGATAAATGTCGAACATGAGGATTTGGATGCGACTTAAGTCTCTCTCGGAATTTAGGTGTATATTGGCAAATAACTTCTTCAGCAGTTAGTAGGATTAGATCTTTGTGAAGTTTTTTTTGTGTTTCACATTCCACGGAGCGCAAGTAACTTGTCGGAGAATTTTATTTTATACTCACTGGATTTTTTCTATGTTTGTCTTACGCGCTGAACACCACAGTTCTATACCATAGGTCCAAATTTAATATTGATTGCTTTAAAATTGATTTGTAAATTAACAATTTGTTATTGAGATCAAGTTTAGAGTTGCGATTTAGAAGCCAGTACAATTTCCTGAAAAAAGCCCTTGATGTGGAAAGAAACAGTTCAATAGAAAAATATCTAGAAAGACTTGGCTCAGAGAAAGAACATGATTATTACTTATGGAAAACTGCAAAGAAATGTAAAGCTTTAATTCAAAGGGAACCTCCTATATGCAAACAAGATGGCTCCTGGGCTCGTAACGATGAAGAAAAAGGAACTACTCTAGCACTATACCTGCAGAATGTTTTTCAGCCAAATCCCCAAATCAATTACTTCCAGCCTAACATACTTTGTATTTATTATAAATATATCCTTATTGATATATTTTTAAAAGTCTGCATATAATTTCCGATTGAATATAAAGCACTAGTTTAAGCAATTTATATAAAAATTCCAGAATTTGAGTTTTGCAAAAAAAATTGTAAATTCAGAAAGTATTTTATAGTAATAATCAACAAAGACACGAAAGAGTATAACCGAGAACTAAAAAAAAATAAAACAAATAAATACAATAAATAAGATAAAAATCTTTTTTTTT